GGAAAGCTTGCATGGGTCATGTTGACTGCAGGCGTAACAGCGTCTATGCACTTCAGAGAACATTTTGGAGCCTGATGCAGAACTACATTTTTCCAAACATTACTGAGTAGTTGTGCTTGCTATCAGCCTTGAAACTTTTCCAGCATTAGGATCTAGTGTTAGATTTCCTGAGCCAGAGAAAGAAAGCTTCATCTTTCCCATATCTATTAATCTATTTAATAGTTAATCCCGATATTGCATGGCATAAAGTAGCAATTCCAAAAATGAACTCCAGTAGTCATCGGAGCCTAAATTCTGCCTGTTCTACACGTTTAGGAAGTCCACATCAGTGCAAGTATCTTGGGAAAAAGATTAAATATTTCTGAAGGTTTTCATCTGTCCAGAGATTTGAAATGTTTAATAAGGCACTGGAGAGATTATGTGTGAGAAGGTCAAAGCTGCATGACAAACTTCATCTTAGGATGGCCTATCACTTTGTGTACATATAGTCTCTATGGGAGTGTGTTACTAAATAATGTATTTCTTCTAAATTAAAATCTAATGCTTGATCATTTCATGATATGTTTAACAGTTCTTACTTCAGCTTGCTTGAGAAGTTTACTCAGAGTTCAGCTTGAAAAATGTGTCCTGTCCTTGTGTCCCTTCTCATGTTTGCTTAAACGTATAACCATGAGCCTGTCAAACCATGGCTAAGTGATGGGCAATGGCAGCAAATTTAGCAAATCTATTAATTTCCCCAACTCTGTGACGTGTGCACTTTCCACTGCAGTGACCTCCCTGGCAGAGCTGCAGACATGCACAAGCACCAGGGTAAAATCATATACGCTGGGAACAGCCCATGATGTTCCTCCTCTAGCTCCAGCCTTAATGCTCCCCCAGATCAAGACCCAACAGCTCTGACGCTTCCACAGCAGGTCTTGTGATATTTAATGTTCTCCTTAAAATCCCCATTACACTCTCACTGATCAGCACCTACACTTCCCATTAGCTTCTACAACTTCTGCTTTCTGTGAACGGTTTGAAATCACAAAGCAGATGTGTGGAAAGCAGCAAGGAAATAAATCAAACACCTACACGTCGTCCGTACTTTTTTCCATCGTGCCCATGGTAACCCTCCTGTTGCTGGTTCTTGGGTCATGGTTTTTAAGTGCCTGGGGCAGGCAGTGGATTGCCCAGTAAAGAACGTACAGCTCGATTCCACAGTAAGCGGCATCAATGTGCATTGCACTGTCGATATTGCTGGGAGGAGAATCAGATTTGCCTTCCAGATCAATTCCCAGGGCAACAGTTATGTGATATTAAAAAAGGTAAAGACACTTTAAAGAAAAAAAAAAAAAAAAAGAGTGATCTCTCACCATGCATTTACATTTGAAATAAATCTCATCTTTCCTACTTTCACTGACTCAGGTTTCATCCAGGCCACAAACCTGGGGGATAATACCTTTACTCTCAATTTGGTTTTAAACAGGAAGGAGGCTTTCATAACATCACAAAACAAAGTGGCAGGGATGAAAAATAACCACAAAAATACAGTCCTTCTAAGAAACCTTTTAAGAATCGATTGCATTTAAAAATATTTTAACAGTTTGAAGCTGCCTTAGGTGTGTTTTACACATCATCAGAACTCACCAAGTCATGAAGATTAGTTGTACACTTAAAATTTCTTCATGATTTAGGAAAATACTGCAGTTTTTTTTTTAAAAAAGGTACATATCTTCATTCAGTACAAGGGAGTGCAATTCTGCTGAAGCCAGAGAACTTATTGTAACATCATCTGAAATCCTGGCCCTATACTGGATGTTTTTCCTACTAGGATAGGATCTATCCCATGACAAAAAAAAAAAAAAAAAAAAAAAAAAAAAAAAAAAACAGATAAGAATATTGAAGGGTTTGTTTTTACAAAGGTCGATGTTGAACTTCAGTTCTTCTTAATCACCTTTCCTACCTCTTTCTGGGCCCCAAGCATTAGGACCATTCCTTTTAGCCTTGATGGGCCAAAATCACACATGAGGCACAAAGGAGGGTAAGCTAATATTTAGCAAGTAGAAAATATATATTTTTTTTTCTTAAGAATAGCTAAGGGATTGCAAGAAAGTGTAAATAACACAAAGAAATGTTCTCTTCCCAGCCTATACAGTTTTGCCATTTCCGTGTTTTTACATGCTCCTTTTATACCATAGCCTCATATAGTATTTTGTAGTCTTTGTGGTTTTTTCATTTACGTTTATAAAACTAGTCAGCTTTGCCACTCACAAGGTAGTCACAGTGATCAGGCCAAAGGCTATGATCTCTACTGGCCTATGCAGGGGTCAAAAAACCCTCTTGCTGACAAAAAGCTCCCTTACCCTTAGTAACTACACTGCACCAATTAGTGAGGACTTAAGCTGCCAACTTATGATACGGAGTATACTTGATTTTTCTCCTCTTTAGTTTTCAATCGCTTTCATGTTTTACATAATTTTTCCAAAGTCCACAGAAGACAAAGAAAATAATCCTACAATGTATAAGAAGCTATTTGTTTTTTCTTTTAGCAGTAATACCTGCAAGTCTCAATAAAAAGCTCACAACTCTCTCATGTCACTTTCCAGTAGCCGTAAAAAAAAATTAACCATTCCATTAAACGGATCCCTGTTCTGTCTGTGATGCTTACAGCCCACACTGAATGAAAAAAAAAAAAAAAAGAAAAAATGCATACCTAAGCGTTTTGTTTTCAAGCTGCTGTGAAGACCTGGAAAAGCCATCAACACACTACACACCTACAGTAGCTCTTTTTTTTAGCACACTTTGGAGTATAAAAATTCAAAAAACCTGATGAATAATGGTATTTATTGGCAGACATAATCTGTCCACAGAGACATATAAATGTTAGGCAACCTGTTACTGTTGTTTGCTTTCACTCACATTATTTTCCAGCAAACCTTTTTTAATTATAACTCAGCAAGCAAACTTCTTCAGTATGCCCTTTATATGCACTAGTGAACGAAAAACTATTGTCAGTACTGCAAGACTTTAAGAAAAGAACTGCAAAAGAATTTTTTTAACACTGTCACGAGAAGTTTTCATGTGCACAGTTCAGTAATTACCTGCATTTAGGCTGCCTCAGCCACCCAGGAAACCCTTCTGGCAGCACAACCACCACTGAGAGGAGATGAGGTCACCTTTGGCATTCTGGGTTTTGTGGTTTTGTTTGCTTGCTTGTTCCTTGCTGTTCTTATAAATTTTAAGAATTATACCAGTAACCCTCACATGAACACAGGTATCACAGTAGCACAGAAATCCACGCTCCTGCCATCCATCTGATTTATATGGAAGATCGAACTTAGAAGAATTATTCCATACGGAAGTCACCCCAAGAGAAACTTAGCCATTTGCTGGTTTAATTCCGCAGTTACCGGGGTGGTAACACACACGCATCCTGACAGAAGCTAGCAGGCTTGAAGGGCACCATCAACATACCTTCTTTTTCTAATCCCTTAAACATGTACCTTTTTTTCCCCTCCCTTCAAATGTTATTTTCCCATCCCACCCCTAAATAATAATAAAAAAGAGGCTAAATGAAAGGATGTAGGAAAAACAATCCCAACCTCTTCCTCCCTGGAAAGACTAGCTACTAAAATATTGGAATTCAAAATTTCACAAACGTGGAAATGATATGTGGAAGGAGAAGACATATCCTTCCGCTCTGCACAGACCAAAATAAAAGCACCCTGCCAAAACAAGCCAAGGTAACGGGGTATATTTTTGGACGGCCACAGTCGGTACTTTTACATTCTCCAACGCTGGTAACTCCCGAGAGCTCGCGATGGGCAAGGCAGCAGTTTCCCAGGGGAAGCTGCCAAGCTGAGGTAGCTCTCAGTAGCGGGGCCCACGCTTGAGGATGAGAAAGGGTTTCAGAAACCACGCCACTGGAGACAGAGACAGCTTATAATTCAGGTAGAAAACGTGGGCTCGGATCCACAGCCCAACTCTACACTTCTCCTGTCAAAGCGTCTGCACGAGGCTCCGGGGTGGGAGAAGAGGCAGGTCCTGTCCTGGAGGTACCAACACAAGGACCTACACCAAGAGGGAGCTGAGCCAGGCCCCTCGCTCTGGGCGAGGCAAGGATCGTGTCTAGATGTGCACCTGCGGGCCGGTTTACACTTCAGCAGACCATTTTTGAACGCAGGAATAAATGCAGAAAGGGTCATTGCTTGGTGATGCCATTCTTAAAGCAATGGGCCACCTTGGAGGGGTAAAGGCTGCCCGCCGACTGTGCTTTTTCCTTTGTATTTTTTTAATTAAATATTTAATTAAATAATTTAAACAATTTTCAGTTAAAACACATCTAGCAGCGCTAAAGCTGGTTGCAGGAAAAGTTTTGTCTGGACAGGAGAAGAATGCTGAACGCTTTTTTACCACGGCTTTGATGCACACTTTGACTATTTCCAACAAATCTATTTCTGTGACTTAACTCGCTATTGAATCTGCAAGCACGTAATATTAACATAAGAGTTGTGCTTTGGGGGAGAACTCAAAGAATCTGATAATGAAAACTGTAATTATCTGGGAAATGAGGGAATTCATATTACAGATTGATAAATAGTTACAAATGGTAAATGGAGTACTTTCAGGAGGTTTTGTTTATGTCAGAAGCAGCACTGAGGGGCCTGTAGTTCAGCGTTGGCACAGATCTTCCTGAGAAAGGGGGAAGTATTATATGTGTTCATACACTTAGTCAAACTCTTTCCAGTGACTTGCCTCTTTCTAGATGCTGCTTCTAGTTCTTAAAAACAATTAATTTCAAAAAAAATGGGAAATGTCAGAAATTTATCAGATCTGTGCTATTTGTTCATAATGTCTTTTCCTAAAATTTTTTAAACCATATATCTCGCTTGTGTTTGACCATAACAAGGCAATCAAAGCATCTTTCTGTTTACCACTGAGCAGCAGTGAGCTCACTGATCAAGTTGCTTCACGCACCAATGTTAAAAAGGATAAGAGAATTATCACTGAACTCTTACCAAAGCAGGAATTGACAAAGCCATACCACCTACAACCATGCTCCCCTCCAATCCATTTGCCATGGATGTTAGATGCAAAACTGAGGGTAGTGCCTGAGATGCACACTAACATGTCACTGATGCTGATGTTCAGGAGGAGCATATTGACTGGGTTACGGAGGGTTTTAAACTTGCAGAAGAGGATGAGGACAATCAAGTTATTCAGGAAACCAAAAAACAAGATAAATCCAAGGAAAACAGCCACTACTGTGTGCCCATTTCGCGAGAGTCCAGCCCTTGGCTCAACAGGACCTGTAGGTGCACCAAAGCTCATGTTGTATGTCCCAGTGTGGTTCATTTTGGACTTTGACACGGATCGGTGGGGACAGAGACGCCAGATGCCCTGTGCTGAAGTCCTCCAGCAGTTTCCCAGGAGCATCCCTCCATCCCAGGTCAAATCATATTAGGAGCTGTGCATTCTTCAGCCAGCTGAGATACCTCCTAGATGGTTATGCAGGTGTGAAATACCATATTGCAGCACGGGAATATTTCCCTGCACTGTGCCTTTCCAGTGGCCGTCTCCGCAGCTAGCTCCAGGGCAGGAGAACCAAGCAAACAATCACCTCAACTTCATCTTTGCTTTTTAAACCCAGGATCATGTTAGATGATCTTTTTTGAGGCTCGGAATGAAAGGTATCTTGAAAAGGTGCTTCAGCATGGTCTCTCCCTTCAGAGCAACCCTCCTATCAATGGGCAGCTACCATTGTTTCCCCTGACAACGGGCATCTTTCTGGAAATACAGAAGAGAACAAATGGTAAAAAAAAAACCAACTCTTTCCATACCAAGACCAAAAAGTAGGCACATAATTACAACCAGTTCCTCCCTCCTTGAACTGTAACAAATATTCCTCAGTCATTTCTATTTCCTCTCTGATTTTCAACAGAAAAATCATTTTGTTGACATGTCTTTGGCTGTGTTAAACAGTTTTTCCCTAGCTCACAGTTTATCATGGAGAAAGTTATTTGCACTTCCCTAGCAAAGTTCCTCAGGTGAGAAAATGCATGGCAAGACATACCTTTTGCAGCAGCTTCTAGAGGAAGAACTGTTATTTCCCTCCACACTAAGTCAGTCCACAGCATGTGAAGCTTCAGTTTTGGCTACACCTTAATTACAATGATGAGAAGGAGAAAGTATCTCTTTGCCCAGAAAGAATAATTTCAATACAAGTCCCTGAAGCTCTTGTGCTTACAAAGGTTAGCACAGCTGTGATAGCAATTTCACTTCTCCCACATTTACCAGTGGACAGATGTTTTCTTTCATTATTTATAAAGCAAAGACCCAAAGCTTCACATCTCTCTCCCACCACAGACACGAATTTGTATACCTGCATGCCGTGAATACTCGCTGTGTTTATGTTGTGAAGCAAGAGCAGAGTGCTTAATGTGGATGTGCAACTGCTTAGCCAGCCTTTTGCATGGTTGGAGGCAAATTCTGCAGATATTTCTATAAAAATGGAGATGGAGAGATATGTGTGTGTGTATATATGTACGTAGGAATTTCCACTCCTCAGTGCAAAAGGCATGATACCCATAGCTTAATGAACTGATAGGAAAACTTTTCTTTCATTAGTCATGCGCTCCTAGAATGATTACACACATGTTAAAAAGGAGCATCTTCTATATTACTCCTGACCACTGCTTTTTGGAAATTGTCTTGTAGGAAATTGTCTTGTGTTAACCAAATTGGAAAACCGAGAGTTCAGAGTTTATTGAAGATGCAGAGGTTGTTTGGTTTTTTTTTCTTATATCTGTGTGTCACGGTGAATGTTTATAGCAAGTATTGCTTCTTACTGTTTCCCCACTTTCACAAACTCACTGTCCTAAATATGTCTCATTATCGCAGTGATTTTGAACTCTAACGTATACAGCCTGTATTTATTCTCTCTTCTGATGAGTAAATTATGTAAACTTTGCAGACCTTCTACTGTTTGATCACTGACAATCTGAAACACATGCTTTCTGCTTTTTCCCCCCCATTTAGAAGGTACCCATTAATTTAGACTGGTAAGGGTCTCAGGTAGCATACCTAAGAGAAAGAACATTTGAAATCTCTTTTTACCATTTTGAAAAAAAAAAAAAAACAACCTATCCCTTGACCAATTCTGGTTGCAGGTTATAGAAGGAAACTAACTAGGATTAACAGTCAGTATACTTTAATTTTACTCATAGTTGTGTTTAAAGGAACAGTTTAAGTTTAGTGAAACAAAACACAAATGAAATAACTGATTAAAAAAATGTGATGCTGAGTGTTTCTCAGTTACTAATTGCACGATTGAAAAGGCAAAGAGGTGCACTTTTTGGTAGGAAAAAATCATGGTAGCATTGTGCTGGAGAGGACAATGAGAGAGAGCTTCAACAGGATGAATTCACAGGAAAACAAGATGTACAGTGAAATAAACTCAATAATAATTTGTAATATTTTTTTTTTAATAATGCTACTTACACCCTGGTTTCTACCAAACTAATTTTTTTTTTTTTTTCCATCACTTCAAAGACATTTTTGCCTAATCTGTTTGCACGTGACCGTTTATTGAGGAATGCAACTAAGGTCAGTTCTACCTGTTCCTCCTTTCTGCACAGCATATTGCAGATTCTGGCTTCAAAATCTGAAGAAACTTAAGTTTGATTTACATGCAGATTAATTTCAGTTACAGACGCAATTTTTTTTCCCAAGATGAACTGGTTACACCTAGATAATTGTAGCAAAGATTACAGTATGCCATCATAGATGGTTCTATGTGGGAATTAACTTCACCAGAATAATCACAGGCAGAGGGTCTGAATAGTATTATTGTTAAAGCATCACAGCCTTGGTGTTAGACAAAGCCAAAGGTTTTAATTCCCTTAGTAAATATGACTACCTTTATATATGTATCTCTATTAAGCTCAAAATATAAATAATAAAATGTAGATCTTTTATACACAGTCACATACACCCTATATTCTTAAAGATATACCATGAGTTCGTATTTACAGTGCTTACAAAAGGACATTTACTCCCCGGATGGGAGTCAGGCTGCTAAATTTTAGTCAGCTGAAACCAGGTGCCCAGGTCACCTCTCCCCTGGCCACGACCCCTCCAGCTCAGGGGGATGAGGTCTGCCGCGGTGCGTGGGGAAGGTGGCCTCCACGCCCAGGCGAGAGCAGCTGACCCTGGAAATTCATGTAAGATACATTGCAAAAAGTCAGTCAAGCCATGCGGCCACTTGAAATCCAAAGGTGGCAAAAAGGACGCACCATAAACGTGCTTTGAAAAGTCTGGGGTAAACTTAAGAGACGAGAAAAATATCAGAAGATCTGGGCTGTGTGGGGGTAAGTCCCTTATTAGTAGCTCTTGTATAAAGTGCTAAGTTTTTTACACCTCTGGATGAAGCACAAGCCAAATTCAGATTTCAATAAAGCTTCTAAACTCCCATACAAATCCCTTGAAGAATGGGTCTAAATCTTACCTCATGTTAGCATTTAAATGAATAATATACATTATTGCTGAAAACCACCTGAGGATGGGCCTGTGTGCTCGAAGGTTCACTTGATTGTTTGTTTGTTGTTTTTTTTTTTTTTCTCCAGATAGATAGCTTGCTTTAACAGAGGTTATTTTGCAATTCTGACAACCCTGTCTTACAGGCGATGCTCTGCACTCCTCAGGTCTACATGATCTAGCAGGACATCCTGAACACTCCTGATTTCTAGCAAACTCCTGAGTTTGCGGGACTGAACTCTGTGTAATTCTGCCAATTCTACTTCTCAAAAAATGTTTTTTACAAAACACACAATAAAACCTACAATTGCATTCAAGATAAATAAATAAGCACCCAGTTTCTCTCCTTGAATTCGTTTGGGTTGATGTGGAATGGAAAACATACCCAAAGTGATACAAAACATACATCCAGGTGAAACAGGCCGTAAGTTCATTTAATGTCACCAGTAATTAAATGTTTCGTCTATTAACTGGTTCTGACAGTAGTAATCTAAAGATACGGCAAAACAGACACCCATCACTGCTTGCAGTCTTCTCTGAAGCAGTCTCTTGGAAAAAAAAGGTTTCAAAAGATGTTATATCAGCTTCTGGGAACACGGGCGTTAATACTGAGAGCGTAAGGCTTCTTTTTGCACTTGCCACCACGCATTAGTTTGAGCGGTATCCTACACCAGTGAAGCTGGTTTTCCCTTCTCACTTTGCCCCAAAATAAGTAATGACTTACTGAACATATTAGCTTTAAGGGTTTAGGATTGGTTTGGGTTCTCTCTTAGATGAACCCACACATTATTTCTATTTGGCTGATTCTTTACCGTTTGCCCTTGACAAGTTGTGCAACATGCCAAAGCCAATGCTTAACTCACTTTAAATATTTAACAGCTGGAACAATTGCATAAATAAAATCAAACTTTAAAATAATTTGCTAAAAAATTTAATTACTCTTACATTATTTTTACATTATTCTATTGTGATAGAGGAGCTACAAAACCCCCTTATATTTACATATGCACACAGCCTTAATCAGCCTGTTGTTGAGCTCATATTAAAATCAACTTTAAAATTATGATTTTCCTTCATTTTTGAACTTAGCTTTCTACTGAAGAGTTAAAATTTAAAAATATTCATAACATTTCAAAGATGTTCCCAGATGAAACTTTATGACATGATACCAGAACTACGGCAGGAATACTACAATTTTAAGTTTTTATACACTAAACCTTGTTTTCCAGATCAGAAGCTGAACTATACTTAACAGCAAGCAACCACAACCGGCGGTATATTTTTTTTCAAACGCAGCTGAAAGATGGGGGACTTTGCAACACTGAAGACAAAATTCTCGGACTATTTTTTTCATGCTGTAGGTCACGCTGGGAGAGGTCAAGAGACCCAGCGCTAAGTCTGTAGAAGTAATTTAGAAGACAGAGAGGAGGCTCCAGTGGTTTAGGCATCTCCCAGTTCCCAAAACTGTGGGAGATACTGTGCATGCAGACTTACAGCCTTACCTATAGGAATTCACACCCACGAGAAAGACAGACGTAAAACCCGAGAACGACCGAAGCGCGGGATCCACGCGATGAAGCCCACCGCTGTCCGACCCACCTGAAGCCGTGCTATTTCCTCGAGGGGAAACTCCAGCAGCCTGAGAAACCCCCCAGCCATTGCTTTAGGAAATAAAAGCTCCTTTTATGCAGCATTGTACAAGTTAAGGCAACCCCTCCTTGCGAAGAGGCATTTTTTTTTTTGCACAGCAAAGTCCGTGCCACCCGTGAAGGATCCGGAGGGATCCGTGAAGGGCAGCAGAGGGGAGGGAGGGAGCACCGCCTCGCCCCCCCCGGGCTTTTAAACGCTGCAGCAAGCCCAAGCCCCCTCAGCCAACCTCAGTTTATGATTTCTCCTTATCAAACTTTTTTTACACTTCTCCGGGGGGGGGGGAAGGGCATAGAAAAGTAGACAAAAAACCCACCTGCATCTACCATCCGGAGCAATCCCGGGGGAGGGGGGGATGGCCGGCTCCGCCCGGAGGGAGAAGCGCCCCGCGGATCCTCCGCGCCCGCGGTTGCCGGCGGGCCGGGCGCCCACTTTCCGCGGGAGGGGTGCGGGGGGCTCGCCCTGCCCGCCCGCTCCCCGCTCCCGCTCCCCGCCCGGGCGGGCTGAGGAGACGTCCAGCTTCGGGGCGGGGGGGAGAATAAATAGTTTGTTAGGGTTTTTTGCGTGGGGTTGGGTTTGTTTGGTTTTTTGTG